CAGACATCACTGAACCGCGTTCAAGAGGGCAGGTAGAATCGAATCCCGCCAGGAACCAGAGCCTGTGCCGTCAGCGTCAGGCGTGAGTGAAGCGGCGGCTGGCCCTCCGTCCCCTGCTGCCAATGATCCTTCAGCTCTGCCATCTCCCACCTCCCCTCCCTCCTCCAGACAGTCACTCTCTGGCCTGTTCGCTCGATGCCAGTCCCTGGGTGCCAGCGGTTGTCCTGTACTACTGTGCTCTTCAGGGTACTGCACTGTGAGATTAAAATGTTTATTTTATATGGTTTTTTTGTGTGTATTTTTGTGTGAAAAGTATTATAACCTATTACAGTGCGGTACTGTATAGCCGATTGTGTGAGTTGGGTACCCAGGCTAGCTTTGTTAGATTTACAGTCACATTGGATTTCACAGATGTGCTCTGGGTAGAGAACTCGACTTGCTGTCTTTTATTTTATACAAATTCTGGTCTCTGGGAGGGAATGAAAACAGTGACACTTCCCCCATGTGGTACTCCAGCATGAGTGGTCTGAGTGTCACTTGTCAGGGACTGAACCTCCTGAGATGGGCCCAGAGTACAATGCGGATGTTCCCTCCCCTCTGTGGGGACAACATGTCTAAGACGCCCCCTTCCCTCTGCAGAAGCGGGCTGTCCAGGCGCCCTGAAGAGCTTGAGTGACATTGGAGTCGGACATGAAGCTCACTGGCCACATCTGCAAGCCCCTCAACCATGAGCATCCTCTTAGCATTGTTTTAGAAATAAAACCACTGTCTGGTAAATGGTGCTGGGAAAACTGGCTGGCCACATGCAGAAGATTGCAACAGGACCCCTACCTATCACCATACACAGAAACCAACTTTAAATGGGTCAAAGCCCTAAATGTAAAACCTCAAACTGTAAGAATCTTAGAAAATGCAGGAGACATCCTTACAGAAATCAGAGTAGGCAACCAATTCCTGATCAAAACCCAGATGTCCATGCCATAAAAGATAAGATAGACAAGTGGGACCTCATTAAACTGAGAAGCTTCTGCAAAGTAAAAGAAAAGAGAATGGAGGGACAGCCCACAGAATGGGAAAAAATATTTGCCAACTGTATGTCTGACAAAGGCCTAACATCCAGGATCTACAAGGAACTTAAAAATACCAAAAGGAAAGAAACAGCCCCATTAAAAAGTGGGCAAAAGACATGAATAGACACTTCCCAAAAGAAGATAAATGGGCAGCCAACAGACGTATGAAAAAGTGCTCAGCCTTGCTAATTGTCAGAGAAATGCAAATCAAAACCACATTAAGATACCACCTAGCCCCAGTAAGAATGGCCATCATTAATAAAACAAACAACAGATGCTGGCAAGGATGCAAAGAAAAAGGAATGCTTCTACACTGCTAGTGGGAATGTAAACAAGTACAACCTCTTTGGAAGACAGTGTGGTGATTTCTTTTTTTTTTGAGTTGGAGTCTCACTCTGTCACCCAGACTGGAGTGCCCTGGCCGCTCCTGGTCACCACCACAGCCTCGACCTACTGGGCTCTGGCGATCTGGAAGAACTAGACATTGATCTTCTGTATGACCCACCAATCCCCCTACAGGGAATATACCCAGAAGAACTCAAATCAATCTACAGAAAAAGATTCCTGCACGTGCATGTTTATTTCAGCACTATTCACAATAGCAGAAACTTGGAACCAACCATGCTGCCCATTGAAACTGGACTGAATTAGAAAAATGTGGTACATATACACAATGAAATATTATGCAGCCATAAAGAAGGACAATCATATGGACTCCACAGCTACTTGATTGGATTTAGAGTCAATAATATTCAGTGACCTATCACAGAAACGAAGAACAGAGTACATATTCTCACTCATAAGTGGACCCTGAACATTTACCATAATGCTATAGGAAAGGGATCGGCAGTAGTGGGATATTGCCGGGGGGTGGGGGAGAGACACAACATCAGTAAGGGCGTCTGATCTCAACCCGGCCACGTGAGGACTAAAGGGAGGGCCAAGCTTCACTTGTGTGATGCTCACCTGCATATCTACTCCTGAATTGTACCCCACCTCTTTAAAGTAGGAACAAAACAAATTTTAAAAAGCAACTTAAAGCCACTATCTGCTAAGACCCACAGCATTTGCTTTTACTAGGAGCACATTTTAAGCTCTGCCTTTTGAACAAGCGCCAAGCAGGAGGAACTTTCCACATCCGAGAGGAGGTCTTCGTGTTACTCCTGAGAGCACGTCTTTACTGTCGTGTGGGGAAGGGAGCAGAGGTTAATGCAAAGCCCAGGCCAGAGCCCTGGGGTTTCAGGATGGCTCCTTTTCTCAAAAGCTGTGTGGGCCTCCGTTTCCCCATCTGTGGTTGTGGGGAGACGGAGTATTCCTTTTTTTATCTTTTAATTTTTTAATTTTAAAGACATGGGGTGCAACTCGGGTCAGGCACACGGATGCTCATTCTGCAGGCACCCTCGTTGGTGAGTGGGCCTGCCCCCTCCCCGGCAGATTTCCGCTGCTGCCAATCCTTTTCTCATAGTATTGCGGTAATTGTTCCGGGTCCGCTTCTGAGTGAGAACACGTGATTCGTGGTTCTTTCTGGGACAGATCACTCAGGACTGTTGACTCTTAGTTCATCCAGGTTGCTGTGAAGTTCATGGTTTTGTCCTTCTTGATGGCTGGGTAATATTCCATTGTGTATATATACCACATTTTTTTTTTATTCAGTCCTCTTTTGGTGGGCAGCACGGTTCTATTTTTTTTTTGCTATTGTGAATAATGCTGCAATAAAACATGCACGTGCAGATATCTTTTTCATAGAGTGATTTGAGTTCCTTCGGGTATATTCCCACTAGGGGGATTGCGGGGTCATATGGGAGGTCGATATGTAGGTCTTTTAGGAATCGCCACACTGTTTTCCCCAGAGGCTGCACTAGTCTGCACTCCCACCGACAGTGTAGAAGCGCTCACTTTTCCCTGCATCCCCTCCAGCGTCTGTTTGACTTGTTGATGAGGACCAGAAAATGGAGTCTCCTTAATCCAAAAGTTCAGGATCGGAGACTTTTTCACCACCAGCATGATGCCTCACATGGAAAATTCCACATATGACTACTTAGCTACAGATTTAGTTTCATGCATAACGTTATTTAAAATATTATATAAAATCACTTTCAGGGTATGAGAATCAGAGTTACATGAAGCATAAATGAATTTTGTGTTTTGACTTGGGTCCATCCCTAGGATATCTCATTATGTATATGCAAATGCTCCCAAATCCCAAAAGATCCCGAAACCAAAGTATTTCCAGCCTCGAGCATGTAAGGTGAGGTACAGTTTGCCTCCGTGCACTAGGTGAGAACCTGTAGAGCAGCACCAGCACATAATCATTGCTGGGTGAGCAAAGGCGATCATCTAAGTCACAGCAATGACCTGGTGAGCTGCTGAGTCCCCCGAAAGGCCAGACTCTCTTCGATGCCACAGGCTAGTATGATTGGTCTTGAGGCCATGTGCATCTCAGTTTGAGAGATGACTTGACTTAAGGGACAGCCACATGGGTGGCTTGCCGGACAGACCGAGGGGGCGGGCTGCCAGGCCCCGTGCTCCAACAGGAGTGACACTTAAGAGAAGCCCCTGGGGAGAAGCTACGCTGATGGGGAGTCGAAGCCGGGGCACTCGGGTTCTGTGGGGCGTCCTCAGCGCCAGGGTCGTCGAACTCACTCTAGAATCCACAGAGCTCCCTCCGGACACTCGCTCCAGGCGGGCCCAGGACCCTGGGAGCACGCGTCAGGGCGGCCCTCTGCATTTCCAAGTCCTTTTCCTGTGGGAGCACAAGCACCTCTCCCGAAGGCAGAGTCTTCCTAGACTTCCTTCTTCGTGTCGATACAGCATTTTGCTTCCACGAACTCAGGAGTGTCTCAGCAGCAGCTGCCCGGGTTCAACTTGAGGCTCCTGGGCTTAGTCTGTGATTTATAGGTTCCTTCCTCCGTCCAGAAGGAGCCCGGGCCCGGCCTGCTGGCGTGCTCCCCGGCCCTCGGGTTGGAAAGTGGCTCCAGCTGTCGGGTCTGGTGACTCCCGGGACCCGTGTGGGTGAGCCCTTCCAGCCAGCACTTTTCCAGCAGGATTAAGTTCTTTGGCTGGCATGGGGCCCTGCCAGCTCCTCACTCCTGGGCCCGGCAGGAAGCTCTGCAGGAACATGCGGCTCTTGTGGTCCCCACACCTCTCCCCGGCCGGCGCTCCCTCTGCCGCGCCACGTGGCCATGTGCTCACGCTCGTGCAGGAATGGCTCCACAGCTGCGTGTCTCTTCCTGGCAGCCTGTGAGACCCAGAGTGGGGAAGAGGCTCCTTCCAGGAGCGAAAGGGCTGCCACGTTTCTCGTGTTGCTGGCAAAAGGGCTTTGACGGGAAGCCTGGCTCCGGGCGTCATCCTGTTGCTCTTGGCCGGCGTTCAGGCTCTCGAATAGAGGGGGCCAGTATCTTGGGCAGAGGCAGGAGTGGGAGGCTGAGCCTGCAAGAGGATACTTGTGTGGAAACAGAAGCCATGTGCCAAGGCTGGTGGAGACCGGGTGCTCCATCCTGCCACGAGCACCTGCTGGCAAGGTGCGCCTTGCCCTCTCCCGGATGCCGTGTGGTGCCCAGGGGAGGCCGAGGGCAGGGGTGCCTCAGCACCTGAGCGCGTCCACTGGAGCCTTCCTCCATGCGCGTAGACCAGAGGGATCTGAAGGGAGCTTCTGGTGGAAACTTCCTGCTCAGTCAATGCCAGCCCCTGCATGCCATCTGTTGCCGGGCTCACAGGTTAAGGTGGCCACGAGCAGAGCTTCTGATGGAAGCCTCCGTCCGGGGCTCACAGGCCAAGGTAGCCATGGGGCCTTGCCGGAGCACGCAGTGCACGCGTCCGTCCTTCCGCCTCACTCTCCAGGCACCTCCTTGCTTTTGGCCCGAAGCCGTGACCTTCGTGGGTGGGTGGGGACAGGATCCCGGAGACCACAAGCCTTTGCTTTCTGTGCAGGTCATGGTGCCCGGAAGCCAGAACAGCCTCCTCCTGAAGCCGCTGCTCCCCAATACGGAATACAAAGTCACGGTGACGCCCGTCTACACGGACAGAGACGGCGTCAGTGTCTCGGCCCCTGGAAAAACCTGTGAGTGGAGCTTTCTCCCTTCAGATGCCCGCTGGCTGGTTGAAGGGGAGTGCCGGGCCCCTTAGCGCACGCTCAGAGACACAGTGTCATGAGAAGAGAGTCGGAGGCCGACCCGTGTCTGACCCCGTCTCTGTGCTCAAGCCATGTGGACCGCTCTGGGCCGCAGCGATCCTTGCCGTGAAAGCCAGGACTTGAGCCACCACTGCGTCTCTCTCCTCCAGCACCCAATTCATGCCGAGTCCTGCTGCTTTGCACCAGCGCCTCCTGCCGCCGATCCTCTCTCTCCTCCCCTGACGTGGTTCCCCCCCCCCCCCCGGTGCGAGCCACACTGGTCACCCAGACAAGAGCCGGAGCCGCCCCTCGGGCTCCTGCCTCCGCCCTGGCCATCCTCCATCCTCTGTGCTCCCCACAAGGAGCATTTCACAGCGTGACTCGCCTCACGTCTGTGCCAGCCCATCTCAGGCCCCACGTCTGTGTCAGGCCCTCTGAGCGCCGCTGCCATCCTCAAGAGAGACTCAAGTCCGCCGGCACCCCTGCAGAGCCTTTTGGGCTGGGCCCAGGTGTCCCTCTGACTCCCTCCTCGCGGTTCCCCGGCCCCTCTTCCCGCCTGCTCCGCGGGACTCCTGCAGCTTTCTGCCTGGGCCCCGTCCCAGTGAGTCCTTCCACGAGGGTGGCGTAGCCTTTCCCAGGTAGCGCCTGTCTGGATTTTTCCCGGCGTCCTGCTCTTGGCTCGATGCCACCTCTCCGGCCTTTCTGGTCACCCCGGGCAAAGCAGCTCCCCATCCTCTGTAACACCGCCCTGTGTATGTGTTGGCCAGTCTTCTGCATCGGGCTGTGTCACAGCACCGCTCACTCCCTGGAAGGTTCTGGTTCATCTGTGCCTCTGCTTCCTGTCTGGCTCTCGTCCCCGGCAGAAGAGCCTCTCAAGCCTGGGCCACCTCTACCTGTGGGGTGCAGGGGTGGCATAGGGCAGGGTTTGTTTTTTCTTGTTTGGTTTTTTGTTTTGTTTTTGAGTCGGAGTCTCACTCCTTCACCCAGACGGAGTGCTCCTGGCCTCCTGGCCTCGGCCTGCGGGGCTCCGGCGATCTGCCCACCTCAGCCTTCCGAGTAGCTGGAACTACAGGCATGTGCTACCACACTCGGCTCATTTTTGATTTATTGTAGAGATGAGGTCTCGCCAAACTGCCAGGCTGGTCTCGAACCCACGGGCTCAGGCCATCCACTCACCTCGGCCTCCCGAAGCACAGGGATTACAGACTGAGCCACAGAGCGCAGCTGGGCTTGTTTTAAGATGAACTGGCCATGCTCACAAGATGATAAGGATGCATAAACGTCCTCGGTTGAAGCTCACTGAGTTCTAGCTGTCTCTGTCACTGTCATGATTGCTTGCACTCGCACGGTGACTTCCCTTCCCTAACTGAATGGCTTAGAGCAGTGGCCTTTTTATCACAGCTCACAGTCGTGTGGGTTGGAAACTGGGCAGGGTTTGCTGGGACAGTCTTCTGCTCTGCGTGGGGTGGAGAGTGTCACCTGGTGGTATTCACCTGGTGACTGGGTTGGCCTGGAGGGGATAAGACAACTTCACCCAGGTGCCTGACACCTTGGGGACAGCTGGAAGGCCGACTCCACTGTCTCAGAACTTTTCCACGTGGTCCTTCCAACGGGGCAGGCACATTTCTCACATGGCGCCTCAGGACTTGCAGAATAAGAGTTCCAAAGGCAGAAAGTGGGAATGGCCAGGCCGGCCAGGGCTGTGCCCAGAGTCAGTGGAGTGTCACCAGTGGGGTTCACCAGCAGGGCATGGCCAGTGGAGTACCACCAGTGGACTGTCGCTAGTGGGGTGCCACCTCTTGCAGCCTCTCGGTCATGGCATTTGTAGGACACACCAGATTCACAGAGCAAGTCGGGGCCTCCACCTCTCGGTGGAAGGAGGGTCAGAAGATCTGTGCCCATCTTTAACCCGTGACAGTCATCGGATCGTTGCATGCAGTTGGGTGCCAAGTGGTGTCAAGGGCTGGATTCTGTACCTGGCGTCTGAGTGCAGAGTTTTCAACTGAGTCTGGGCAGGTCCTGGAAAGCCTGCAGCCAGAGTCAGACTCTGCTCAGCCGAGCAGGCAGGTGTGATGTCCCCTTTAGCAGGGTGGCATTGCCCTCCCCCTCTGCCACCTTCAGGGCCTCACCCAGACTCCCACCGCACCTGCACGTTCTGCCAGAGATCGCCAGGGTGCCGTGAGACCCCAGGGGAGCTGCAGTTATCTGCTCAGAGACACAAGGGAGACGAGCAGGGAAGGGGAAGGGCAGAGTTTAGCGGAGGGTCCCGCTCGCTCTCCTCGTCTCCCGGCATGCTGGCGTCCTGAGTTGATCTAGTCACTGACATTTCCGGCGTGTTTTCGTATTTTGTTGCCAAATACATGTTTGGAAGCCACACACTTAAGCAACAGTTAAAGAAAAAGAAATCAAGAAGTTATCTGGCCCAAATAAAGGCTATTTAAAGACTATTATTATAGAAATATGACTTGAATCTCATTACAGAAATTCCATTACATGTCACAGTCTCTACATTGCAAAATTATTTCAAAGTGTTCATGGGAGGTTTACTTATTTTAAGCAGTGGTCAACACAACTAAATTCTCTCCACCGTAAAATCATAATGATGACATCTGCCAAGATTCATCAAATTTTACAAAAGTCCTCCCTAGAAATGACATTAATTTTGGATAAAAAGTTGGTAAACAAAAATAAAACTTCAAACAATACAGTCAATATGAAGATGAAAGCCAAAAAAACAAAAAACGACTGTAGAATCCTACGTCCTGGGATAATGATCATTAACATTGTGTGAGTCTCACCCTCAATACTGCTGTCCACATATACCTAGAGACTGGGACAGAGTGGTGTCCAGACAGGCTTTTTAATAGACACGATTCAATTTAACTTTACTTAAAATTAACCGAAGAAAATGGAACCGAGTGACATTGAATGGACGCTCTGACTTTCAGATAGAAGTGTTTTGTCACAAGAGCAATTACTCTCCACGTATTTGGGGTTTGAAGCCACCACAGACTCTCAAAGGCTCGCTCCCGGCTGTGTGTCTCAGTGCACCACCACTCATAAACGTGCCTCACCTTGTGGGGAGCGAGCTTGGATTTTGTTGACAGCAGCATGGGCCACGAAGGAGGAGATGACCCTGAGTCCCCACTTTTCCTCTTCTCTCCTGCTCAGTGCCCTCCTCTGGTCCCCAAAACCTGCGGGTGTCAGAAGAATGGTATAACCGGCTGCGCATTACGTGGGACCCCCCGCCATCCCCTGTCAAGGGATATCGGATTGTCTACAAACCTGTTAGTGGTAAGTAATGCTTGGTTAAAAAAAGAAATTGACCCCATGATCCAGCCCCTAAAACGTCTTGTAAGGTAGACTGTTTTGTTCTAAGATTTTATCTATGTTTGATTCTATTTTTAAAGAGCTAGGAAGAGCTTCTTACTGGTTTTTTGTTTGTTTGTTTGTTTGTTTGTTTTTGAATTGGAGTCTCACTCCTTCACCCAGGCTGGAGTGCAGTGACACACACACTCACGGCCGCCTCAGCGTCAAATTTCTGGGCTCCAGCGATCCCTCCGCCTCAGCCTTCTGAGTAGGTGGAACTACACGCCCGGCTAATTTTTTTATTGTCTTGCCAAGTTGCCCCGGCTGGTCTCGAACCCGTGGGCTCCGGCAATCCACATGCCTCGGCCTCCCAGAGTGCTGGGATGACAGGCTGAGCCACCGAGCCCAGCTCTTACCTGTTTTTAAAACTCAGTTTTTCTAGTAGGTGCTGCCCAGATGGTGAAGCTATGACCCCACATATAAACCACTGGGCAGTCACTGAGTGGATATGTGTGTGGATGCTCCTGACTAATCGAGCTCCAAACCAGGAACCAGCCCAAGGAAACGCTGACTGTGAGAACAGGAGGCTTACGACTCAATGGGTCCACAAGCTCCAAACATTTGGAATTTCTAGTTTCAAATGTCTCTTCTACCTGTGACTTCTTGGATGAGTTGGAAAAATTCCATTTGGTCGTGCCTCCACTTTTAGAAACCATGTTGGGAGATAAGACTCACTGAAGTAGTAAGTGCTTTTCTTTTCTTTCTTTCTTTTTTTTTTGAGTTGGAGTCTCACTCTGTCGCCCAGGCCGCCGCAACCTTGACCTGCTGGGCTCAGGGGACCCTTCCGCCTCAGCCTTCCAAGTACCTGGCACTGCAGGCACACACCACCTCTCCCGGCTAAATTTTTCACTTATTGTAGAGACGAGGTCTCGCCAAGTGGCCCGGGCTGGTCTCGAGTCCATGGGCTCAGGCAGTCCTCTCGCCTCAGCCTCCCAAAGTGCTGGGATGACAGGTGCGAGCCACCGCACCCGGCTAGTACAGTGCTTTTCTACCAGTCTTGTAGCCCTTGATGCGGAGATCCTCCCTCCCACACCATCACACCTCCATGGCAGGAGAAGGATCCCTAGGGGGCGCCTGTGCCCCGGGCCGCACGCCTGTGGTGAGGAGACCACGCGCACCAGCTCCTCGCGGGGTCGCTCCCCCACGCTCATCACGTCATGCAGTGTAGACAGGAGGCCGAAGCCGACCGCCTGAGGGCCACTCGGTTCTCTTGACCTGGGCCGCTGTCCTCTGGCTGTTCAGCGGAACGGGGCTCTCCAGTGCGTTTTCTTAATTTGGCTGGAAAAACTTGGAGCCATTCTTTGGGCCTTCAAGGACTCCACGAGTCTCGTCTGTGGCCGCAGCCCGGTCGTTTCCTGGCATGGCCTGTTGTCCAGGTGCTGTTGTTTTCGGTCCCCTGCGACTCAAAGACCTCACCCCAAATCCAGACAAAGACCTTCAGGAACTGTGAAAGTAAGATACAAGAACACCCCCTGGCCACACCAGCCTGCTCCAGACGGCGTCCTTGGGGCTCATCACCATTTTTTAAAGAAATTACTTTGTGGCCGCGCTCGGTGACTCAGCCTGTAATCCCAGCGCTTTGGGAGGCCGAGGCAAGTGAATTGCCTGAGCCTGAGGGTTCGAGACCCGCCTGGGCAACTTGGCGAGACCTTGTCTCTACAATAAATCAAAAATCAGCCGGGTGTGGTAGCGCATATCTGTAATTCCGGCTACTTGGAAGGCTGAGGCGGAAGGATTGCCAGTCTGGGTGACAGAGTTAGACTCCCAACTCAAAAAAGAAAAAAAAGAAAGAAAGAAATCACTTTGCTTTAGACTTGAAGCATGTGTTCATTTGCAAGACAACCTTGCTGAACTTGTCTTTTGGGTCATTTTGCAAATATTTATCAGGTTTTCTTTTTTCTTTCTTTTTTTTTTTTTGGAGTTGGAGTCTCACTCCGTCGCCCAGACTGGAGTGCAGTGGCCGC